ACTGGACATGGAACAACAGACTGGTTCCAAACAGGGAAAGGAGTACGTCAAGGCTGTATATTGTCACCCTGCTTACTTAACTTATATGCAGAGTACATCATGAGAAACGCTGGGCTGGAAGAAGCACAAGCTGGGATCAAGATTGCCGGGAGAAATATCAATAACCTCAGATATGCAGATGACACCACCCTTATGGCAGAAAGTGAAGAGGAACTAAAGAGCCTCTTGATGAAAGTGAAAGAGGAGAGTGAAAAAGTTGGATTAAAGCTCAACATTCAGAAAACTAAGATCATGGCATCTGGTCACATTACTTCATGGCAAATATATGGGGAAACAGTGGAAACAGTGGCTGATTTTATTTGGGGGGGGGCTCTAAAATCACTGCAGATTGTGACTGCAGCCATGAAATTAAAAGACGCTTACTCCTTGGAAGGAAAGTGATGACCAACCTAGAGAGCATATTAGAAAGCAGAGACATTACTTTGCCAACAAAGGTCCATCTAGTCAAGGCTATGGTTTTCCCACTGGTCACGTATGGATGTGAGAGTTGGACTATAAAGAAAGCTGAGTGCTGAAGAATTGATGCTTTTGCACTGTGGTGTTGGAGAAGACTCTTGAAGAGTCCCTTGGACTGCAAGGAGATCCAACCAGTCCATCCTAAAAGAGATCAATCCTGGGTGTTCACTGGAAGGACTGATGTTGAAGCTGAAACTCCAATACTTTGGCTACCTGATGTGAAGAGCTGACTCATTGGAAAAGACCTTGATGCTGGGAAAGATTGAGGGCAGGAGGAGAAGGGGACGACAGAGGATGAGATGGTTGGATGGCATCACTGACTCAATGGACATGGGTTTGGGTGGACTCTGGGAGTTGGTGATAGACAGGGAGGCCTGGAGTGCTGTGATTCATGGGGTCGCAAAGAGTCGGACACAACTGAGCAACTGAACTGAACTGATACAAGCTTGCTGCGTGCTAAGCTGTTCATGGGATTCTCCAGGCAAGAATACTGGAGTGGGTAGCCATGCCCTCCTCCAGGGGATCTTCGAACAAGGGATGGAGCCCGTGCCCATTAGGTCTCCTGCACTCGCCGGTGGGTTCTTTAACACCAGAGACACTTGGGAAGCCCTGCACGAGCTTGGGACTTGGTGAAAATGTCTGTAGAGACTGAGCTTTCTTGAATTGATATCTCTACAGAGAAACCAAAAGCTAGGTAGGAATATGACTTTCTTACCAAAATTCACTTTTTAAAATATTCTTATTTTTCTTGAAATAGAAATGGATAAGATAACGTTTCATAAGCCAGGGAAAAGATGCAGTTTATGATTCCTAAACTAAAATATCACTGTGCAGAAAAGAGAAGTAAATGATGAATATCCATGATGATTATTTTTATGAAAACTTAGGTTCAAGAAGATACTGAATTTTATTCAGGATTAGTCTTTTTTTTTAAAACGGAAAGGGTAGTTATTAACTGCAGAGATTAACAGGAAAGGTTTATTTCTGTGCTTTATTCTGTATAAACACGTGATTATGCTTTCTGTTGTGAATTTCAGTAAGACATGATTTAAGACTACAGCAAGGGTGCCATTAAAATGTGAATATTAACTTTCCAATAATTTCTAGAAATTGAAATGGAATCTGTTTGGCACTAACATGACAATTTGACACCAACGAAAATATTTTATGTAGTTATGTAAGTGATAAAAATAAATGTTTTATAGAAACTTATCCAGGACTTACAACTAGGAAAAACAATCATAATTAACAAGATTTCATAAAGTACACAGCTGCCAAAGATAACTTTTAGACCAGCTGAAGGTGATGAGGTCATTGCTGGTCCTAAGTTCATAAGATCTGAGCACCTGTAGAGATTCTTTTTAAAAGCACTTAAAAGAATTAATTTTCCAACCATAGACAGGCTGACGGTCTCCCTCTTTTATGTGACTGTGTATTGTGCCAAAGTAATGGAATTGAATGCATGCTTCAAATTTGCTAGCAGCCGTTCCTATGGTGCAGAAGTAAACGTGTAAACTCTACCCGAACCAGCTGGAAAAAAAGACATGAATCTACTATTTCTGAATTTATTATGGAGCCTAGATTTTGTTTCCAGGATAGAATGTGTCCAAAGCAACCAAATTTAAGAAGAGAGTTGTGAAATCGTCCAGTAGATGAGTAACCATGTTGACAATTCAACTGGCTAATGCAAATAGACCTGTACTGGCAGGTAACTCACTGCTTACTGCACTGGCTGGGCAGTACTGAATTCTTTTTAACATTTTTAACCAAGATTGTTATACCATGAGAATATTAACAACAGCAATGTCAGCAGGGCAAAAACCAGCTTTGTCAAGCATACACATGCTCAGTCGTGTCTGACTCTTTGTGACCCTGTGGACTGTAGCCCACCAGGCTCCTTTGTCCATGGGATTTTCCAGGCAAGAATACTGGAGTGGGTTGCCAATTCCTAAATTTATAAGGTATACTGAGGATTACTAAATCAATAATAATTATGAAATAGTAATATAACAGAAGGCATTTCATTAACATGGTTATCTTTCAACTCTACATTTAACTGTCATTTTCATTAAAATATTTAAAATTACACTTCTAACCAAATACATATACACACACCCTTTATATATATATATATATATATATATACACACATGTATATATATTTATATATAATGTTTCACAGTTTGCTTTTTTATTTTTATTTTTTTAACTGGAAGGGGGATAAAGTTTATATTAATTCATTTCTAAAGGGTTATTTGATATATTTCATTAATTCTGTTAATTTTAAATATTGCACAGTTTGCTTTTTTAAAAGCAGTTTTAGATTCACTGAAAATTGAATTGAAAGTACACAGTTTAAATATATTTAATGTATGAAACTGAAGCTGAAGCTCCAATACTTTGGCCACCTACGCTAAGAAATGACTCGGTGGAAAAGACCCTGAGGCTGGGAAAGATTGAAGGCAGGAGGAGAAGGGGACAACAGAGGATGAGATAGTTGGATGGCATCACCAACTCAACGGACATGAGTTTGAGCAAGCTCTGGGAGATGGTGAAGGACAGGGAAACCTGGTGTCCTGCAATTGGTGGGGTCCCAAAGAGTAGGACACGACTGAGCTACTGAACAAAAACCAAATGCATGTGTATACATTACAACCCTGCTGATCCATTCTGGGTTGAATCCCAGGAAATTTCTTTAAAAGATCAGAAAAAGCTATGTTTAAGAAAATTAATTACAGTGATGTTCATAATAGTGATAATCTGAAGAAAACTAAACATTTACCAATTGATATTTATCCATTCCGGATAGAAATTGTTTTATATTTTCAAAGAATAAGAAAACCATATGGCAATTAAGAGGAATAAACTAACTTTGTACATCAAAATTAAAATCTTAATGTTGAATGAGAAGGAAATGTGAAGAAAAATATGTTCAACCTGTTACTAGTTATACAAATATGAGAACACATACACGAGATGTCGTCTATGAATGCATGAATAAAAGCTTAAAAACATAGGTTAGATGAATACCGAATCCATGAAAAGAAGTTACTTTGGATTGAGGATTACAAAATGGAACCAATGGTGAGTACAGAAAAACACCCAATTCACTTGTAATATTTTAATTCTCATATTTTAAAACTATTTTAAGGAAACATGAGAAAATACTATTATTTGTCAATTCTGGGTGGCGGATATTCAAGGTTTTCAAAAACATTTTCCAAGTACTTCGTATTTTTATTTGTCAAATTTAAAACACTAGATGTCAATGTTTTATTGAGAAAGAAATTTCAAAAATTGAGTCAAAAAAACTGCAAATACCTGAATAGTTTAAAATCTATAGAAGATCGCCCCAAACACCAGAGAATATCCACTGAAAAAGGCACCAAGCCCAACTGGTTCTATGGGTAAGTTTTCTATATTTCAGAAATAATGTCCTACGGAACCCTAACCCTGATACAAAACAGAACTTGTTCAGCAGTTCTTGTTCAGCAGTGCATTTTTAAAATACTTTTATTTATTTACTTCTAACTGCACTAGGTCTTCATCGCAGTGCCTTGGCTTTCTGTGTAGTTGCAAGCAGTGGCTACTTTCTAGCTGTGGTGTAAGGGGCTTCTCACGTCCCTGGCCTCTCTCGTTGCAGATCAACAGCTCTAGAGCTCGGACTCAGTAGTGGTGGTGCTTGAGGGGGAGGGTGGGTTGTAGTCGTCACACACGTGGAATTGTCCCAGAGCAGGGATCCAATCCAAGGAAGTCCCAGCAGTGTATTAAATGAAAGAAAAACGCATCCTCTTGCACGAGTGAGGTTTATAAAAAGAGAACATTCATGATACACCACCATCAAGAAGGCAATTTTTGTAATATTACTAAAAAGTGAAATAAGGAAAAAAATCTAAAGGCTCAAGACTGAACTTTCAACGGATGGAAAAGAAAATACATGTAAATCCATGGCTAATTCATTTCAATGTATGACAAAAACCACTACAATGATGTAAAGTAATTAGCCTCCAACTAATAAAAATAAATGAAAAAAATAAATTAAAAAAAAATAATAAAATAAAATAAAATCATGGAAAAAAAAATCGTTAAACTTGGTAACCATTCTATTATGGATTTTTTCGAATCCTTGCAAACTAGGAATAGAAGAAAATTTCTAAATATGAAGAAAGAAAACATTCTCCTTAGTCAAAAACAACAGAGGCTGCCTCTACCCAGCACTAGGCCATAAAATAAAATAAAACTTAACATTCGAAACAAGGAAACAAACGTGAGCAGTTGCAGATTATACAACTGTCCAATTAGCAATGGAAAGACACCCGCGGACCAGCCCTATATGGGCGGCTCCTCGCCGCCCCTGCTGCTCCGCCCCTGCTGCTCCGCCCCTGCTGTTCCGCCCCTGCTGTTCCGCCCCCGGGGCCAGGCCCGCGCCCTTGCACGTACGCACGCGCAATTCTGGCGCACGCGCGCCGGCGGAGGAGGAAAAGATGGCGGCGCCCAGCTTCCCCACGCCGCTGTACGGGCATGTGGGCCGCGGCGCCTTCAGCGACGTGTACGAGCCCGCGGAGGACACTTTTCTGCTTCTGGACGCACTCGAAGCGGCGGCGGGCGAACTCACGGGGTGCGAGGAGGGCGAGGGTCCCCGCGGGAGAGGGCTCGGGAGTCCTGGACAGGCGGCGGCGCAGGACCAAGGCCAGGACTGTCGCCGCCCTCCCCGCGAGGAGGCGGTGTCGGCCCACTTGGGGACAGCTGACACCAGAATACTCTGAGGATTTTCCCGTGGATGCACATAATCAGTGCGGCAGGGAGCTGGCTATCCGCTTTCTTCCCAAGATGGTGTTTTGGTTTCAGGGGCTCTGTGTTTCCTCACCTTTTCAGGATGTAACATTTCCTATCAGCTGTTAATCTGAAGAGTAGCGGTGTTATAACACGTTCAAAAACAAAACGTCCTGAGAACGCTGCGTCTCAATATTACCGTTTTTAGTAAATATCAGTGCCCCATGGCATTATTGAATCTACGCAGTACATAAAAGCATCTTCCAGCAATGGAAGGGCACAAAAAAGAAATGAAGTTGTAAAATACTAGACTAGGGGAGTATGTTTAAACCCCCTGGATAGCATACTCAGCTACCCAGCAAAAGCCTGGCCACGTGTGGCTACTGAGCACTTGAAATGTGACTAGCACTGAATTTTTAATTATAAAAAATTTAAAGTTACATGCAGCTAGCTGCCTATAGAATATACCCTAGCTCATAATAAGTATTAAAATTGATTTGTTGAAGCGCTCATATAGGTTTTAATTTAATATAAAATGAATACTTTGTCATTTTTTAGATGAAAGCAATTTGGGTGGTTAGATTTAATTAATTTGGGCTTCCCGGGTAGCTCAGCTGGTAAAGAATCCACCTGCAGTGCAAGATACCCCCTGCTTCAATTCCTGGGTTGGGAAGTCCCCATGGAGAAGGGATTGGTTACCCACTGCAGTATTCTTGGGCTTCCCTGGTGGTTCAAATGGTAAAGAATCCCCCTGTAAAGCGGGAGACCTGTATTCCATCCCTGGGTTGGGAAGATCCCCTGGAGGAGGGCATGGCAACCCACTCCAGTATTCTTGCCTGGAGAATTGCCATGGACAGAACAGCCTGGTGGGCTACACAGTCTGTGGTGTCCCAAAGAGTCCACACAACTAAGCACACAGCACGCACAGATTTAGTTAGAGATCAAAAGTTGAAATGGGGTTTTTTTCAGGATGAAACAAACAGCTGTCAGGCTTAGAAGGTCCAAATTGTGTTTGTTTCTCTCTCTTGGTCAGATTTTTCCGTGTATAAATTGCCCCAACTCTTATTAAACCAGTTTTTCATTGTAAGCATTGAAACTTTTGGATCTACTGGAATACAGAATGGAACAGTACTGTTTTTTGTGGTTTTTTTAACAGTACTGTTTTATAACATGTCTTTTATTATCAAGATATCCCAGAAAGATTTTAAAGCACAAATTGCCTTGCTGTAAAAGGAACTGTTTTTATTTTAAAGTCTTGGGTATTTCTGGTCATGGAGTTCTAGTTATTTATGAGGCCATGATAGTTATTTTCAAATAGAAGCCTCCTGGTAAGATTCAACAGACCTTCCTACAGCACAGTAAAGGCTTGTCAGATGTACAGAGCAGTTCCAGAAGTTAGAAACCCCTAGAGTCTGTTGGTTTTGAATAGTTCATTTGGGAAGTTAGGTGCTAGAGTGCCCCTTAAATACCATCAAACCTATTTCTGGAATGGGGATAATTTGTACTTTTACTGTAAATACAAGATTATGTTGTTGTTTAGTCACTAAGTCATATCCAACTCTGCAACCCCCTGGTCTGTAGCCCGCCAGACTCCTCTGTCTGTGGGATTTCCCAGGCAAGAATCCTGGAGTGGATTGCCATTTTCTTCTCTAGGGGATCTTCGCAACCCAGGGATCAAACCCTCATCTCCTGCATTGGCAGGTGGATTCTTTACCACTGGGTCATCAGGGACGCCCATATACAAGATGATAGGGAAGGATAAGTATGGTAGAATCAAGAATTTATGTATTTAATTGCATTCTTAAGAGTGTTATTAGTATTCTAAGGTCAGATTACTTGGGTGTTTTCCCACTTCAGTGTAGTGATGTACAAATACGGAATTTCTCTGCTGCTTTCAGTCTATTATTAGTAGAAGAGGGTGGGGGGGGAGCTTCTTGTCTTCCCCTGGGATATGCTGATGGATTCATGAGTTACTTCAAAATGAGAGAAAATATCTTTTATAAATAAATATTGTAATAATACCTTTTTGTTTTTAGGAAACACCAAACTCGGAGCTCCTTCTGGGAAAAGCTGGTGTCTTCCATATTAATATTTCCAATCCTAAATTAACATTCCATTGTTTATGTAATGTTTTGTGAAAATTAAAAACTATTATTTTGCAAACTTCAGTCACATACCCATAATTTCAACAGTTTTGAACAGTAAATGAGCACTAAGTGATTGTTGGAAATTAGCTTATTTATAAATTTCTTTTATATTTCCATGTATTTGCAGGTGAGGGATGATTCTGGGAAATAGACATTAAAAGTAGCATGAGTTATTTTCCATGATGTGTATTTTAATACCACTGTGCTAATATTTATTTTATTTTGTTTTTTTAGAGTGGAAATATGCCTCGAGGTTGGCTCAGGGTCTGGAGTGGTGTCTGCATTCCTAGCCTCTGTGATCGGTCCTCAAGCTTTGTATATGTAAGTGTAAGTATACACATTCATCCATACCTTGGTCTAAGAGAGTCACTGTGACTATGACTGCTTGAATGAAACCATTTTTGTAAGTGGATAATATGTATCTGATAGTGTCTATTTTAAGTGTACTCAGGACTCTGATTACAAATTATGCATCCCTAAAAGTGACAAATGCATGTTCAAAATTGTCCCATTATACTGCATAATTATAGAAGCCACGTAATAATTTTAAGTCATCTCTAAATTTGAATCATTTTTAGATAAATAATTTATCAGAAGAAAATTGGAACATAATGTCTTTATAGAAGATTTGAGAATATAGAAAATATAAACAAGAAAATAAAAATCACCCATAAATTTTACCACACGTGGCCCAACTGTTTCCTCTTTTTCTTTCTTCACTTCCTATATTTTTTATTTAGTACTGTATGATGAGCATTTTCCCTTTAAATTTCATTTTTGGTAGCTGCATAGTATTTCTCCATTGGATTCATTTTTTTTTTTTTTTTACCATTTATTTTTATTAGTTGGAGGCTAATTACTTTACAATATTGTAGTGGTTTTTGCCATACATTGACATGAATCAGCCATGGATTTACATGTGTTCCCCATCCCGATCCCCCCTCCCACCTCCCTCTCTACCCCATCCCTCTGGGTCTTCCCAGTGCACCAGCCCCGAGCACTTGTCTCATGCATCCAACCTGGGCTGGTGATCTGTTTCACCCTTGAGATTGGATCCATAATTTAATAAATTCCTTCAGATATGTTTGCATGTAGCTATATTCTACTCTTGGACTTTACATCAATATAACAAATTTTTTCATCAGCATGACAAATCTGAATTGTTTTTTTATTCACCATTATTAAATTATTTCAATTTTTTTCTAAATCTACTTTATATATTCAAGGAGGAAGAAAGGACAAACTTTTTTACTTTTTTCCTTCTACATTCCTTAGGATTATATAACAATAATGTATCCTGCCTGAGGACAGTCTTTGGATTAAACCTTCTGGATAATTCTGTTATCTTAAAACATAAATTATGGGAGTAGGTCTGGTCTTTACAAGGATGTATCCTGCCTGAGGACAATCTTTGGATTAAACCTTCTGGCCAACTCTGTTATCTTAAGATGTAAATTATGGGAGTGGGTCTGGTGAGGTCTTTGCAGCCTCCAGACATTCTTTGGATTCATTGGAGAGTATATAACTCCATTGCTAATACCAGCAAAGGGGTACTCTTTTGCCCCCTTCTGATGCCTATGTCAGAAGCTTTCTCTATCTCCATTATACTTTAATAAAATTTTATTACATAGACACACACACAAAAAAAAGAAGTGGAACATTCTTTGAATTTTTATCAATAGACATAGGGTATAGTTTTTTCTTTTCTGTTTATAGGTGCACCGATGTCAACCCTGAGGCAGCAGCATGTACCCTGGAGACGGCACGCTGTAACAAAGTCCACATTCAACCAATAATTACAGATTTGGTAAGCTGTTACTCCTTGTCCAGAAGTGTAATAATTAATTTTTTTTTCTTTTCAATTAGGTTAAGGTCAAGATGATTTATGTCAAGATGTGATTATTTCATTAACTTTTAATGAAATAAAAGTGATTAGTTCATTAACTTTTAACTTTTAACCCAGTGCAGTACAGTGCATTTCAGTCGTTCAGTCGTGTCCGACTCTTTTTTAACCCACTACAGAAAGTAAATTCTTAACTGACCAATTCAGCTCAGTTCAGTCGCTCAGTCATGTCTGACCTTTGTGACCCCATGGACTGCAGCACTCCAGGCCCTCCTGTCCATCACCAACTCCCGGAGTTTACTCAAATCCATGTCCATTGAGTCGCTGATGCCATCCAACCATCTCATCCTCTGTCATCCCCTTCTCCTCCCCGCTTCAGTCTTTCCCAGCATCAGGGTTTTTTCAGATGCGTCAACTCTTTGCATCAGGTGGCCAAAGTATTGGAGTTTCAGCTTCAACATCAGTCCCTCCAATGAACACCCAGGACTGATCTCCTTTAGGATGGACTGGTTGGATCTCCTTTCAGTCCAAGGGACTCTCAAGAGTCTACTCCAACACCACATTTCAAAAGCCTCAATTCTTCGGACCTCAGCTTTCTTTATAGTCCAACTCTCACATCCATACATGACCACTGGAAAAACCAAAGCCTTGACTAGATAGACCTTTGTTGGCAAAGCAATGTCTCTGCCTTTTAATATGCTGTCTAGGTTGGTCATAACTTTTCTTCCAAGGAGTAAGTATCTTTTAATTTCATGGCTGCAGTCACCATCTGCAGTGATTTTGGAGCCCAAAAGTGATTTGGGGCTCTTAACTGATACAATCCACAATCCAAAGGAAACTTCTGTTGGCTTGTACAGATCAGGTGTCTTTCAGTCAGAAGTGAAGAGAAGCCATCAAACTGGCTTTAATAAAAAGAGTGGGTGGCTTCAGGCACAGCTGGTTTCAGGAACTCAAATGATGCCACAGGCACCTTTTTCTTAGCTCTGAACTTCTTTCTAGTAGCTCTGTTCCTCTGCAGTCTTTGGCTGCATGGTAGCAAGGTGCTTGCATGTCCATGTCTTATTTCTCAGCACCGCCGCAGGGAAAAAAACACTTCTGTTTCTTCAGTTTCTCTAGCAGAAACCCCAGACTGAGTACCATTTGTATCAACTTTGGTCATATGCCCATCTCTCGGTCTGTTACTGTGATCCACGGGGATTGGATATGCACGAGATTGACTTGAGCCTGAGTGGTAGTCCCACTCCCGCAGCTGGGTTGAAATAAACCCTACCCTTACCACTCTGATTGAGAAGGAGCAGAGGTAGAGTTTCCTCAACGAAAGTCAAGGAGACGTCATCAGAAGAAAGGCAGAACGGGTCCAAGGCAGGTAAAAACAACAGGTGACAACTCCAGAACCATTATTTTAAGTTACACATCATACATTTTTCAATTCCAGTTTTTAGAATATTTTTGATTATATGAGTAAGATTTAGATAATTTTGAACCTTTTTTTACTTATAAATGTTAATGACTTTTTTAAAGCAAAAATCATAATAGTATGTACAAGGTGGGCCTAAGGCATATAAAATGCTTTTGTGCTGTTTGGCCTGTATTACTCTTATACTGATAAGGTTTTGAGGTTTTTCTTTTTTTTTTTAACTCACAAATGATTTAAGGAATCAAGCCAAAGAGCTAAGAAATTTTGTATCACTAGAAGTCATCAGTGCCATTATTAAAAATTAGAGTATCAAGAAAGATACTCAGTTGATTTACATGAAATCAGTATGGTGATTTTGCTTTTGAAATTTTTTAATATGTCCATAATTAGTATTAAATATATGTTTTTTTGGTGTAACAATAAAACTTTAGAAATAGAAGAAATTCGGAGTGTCTGTTTTTGTTAACAGGTAAGGGACATTTTTGAAAGTCACTAAACTAATACAATGATAAATCCAGAGTTTATGCCCAGATAGTCTGAATCAAAACCTAGAGGTCTCACAGATTTTTGGAGGTGGAAGTCAGTTCTAAAGCTGTCAGAATCCATTCTGTCAATAGTGAAAGTTGGCCATGATACTCAGTGCTGACTTGTGGCAAAGAAAATAGGAAGGGGTAGGTATGAAGTGAAGTGAAAGTTGCTTAGTCATGTCTGACTCTTTGTGACCCCATGGACTGTATAGTCCATGGAATTCTCTAGGCCAGAATACTGGAGTGGGTTGCCCTTCTCTTCTCCAGGGGATCTTCCCAACCCAGGGATCGAACCCAGGTCTCCCACTTTGTAGGCAGATTCTTTACCAGCTGAGCCACAAGGGAAGCCCACTTTCAAAACTGTATTTGCTTGTATTCAGAACACTAGACATAGATTATCAAAACTATCAAAAACTATTGTTTTGGATAATTGAGTTTGTTTACAAAGTTTACAAAATTTGTATTTCCTTTTTAGTTTTAGAAGGAAGTCTTTTTCAAATGTGTCTTATGCACTTCCTTACATTCTTAAATTGAACATAATTTTACCTTTTAGTGATTCAGGGTCATTAATATGAATATCAGTCATCATTCTGTACTGTATGTGATGATGACAAGGCTTATTAGATTCTAAGTTTTTATTTTCTCTCCTCTTTGCCTTTACACTTGATTTCTGTTGTCATATTTCACTGCTACCCATAGATTGCACTTCCTTTCTCTTTTCACATGCTTTGTGCTAGAAATGTGTGGATGTGTGCTAAGTCAATTCAGTCGTGTCCAACCCTGCGACCCTGCGGACTGTAGCCTGCTAGGCTCCTCTGTCCATGGGATTCTCCAGACAAGAATACTGGAATGGGTGGCCATGCCCTCCTCCAGGAGATCTTCCCAACCCAGGGATCGAACCCATGTCTCCTACATTGCAGGCGGATTCTTTTACTGCTGAGCCACCAGGGAAGCCCTTGTGCTAGAATATCAAGCAATTAATTTAGTTAGATTTGTATTTAAACTAAGAGTTTAACAGTCCTGAATGAAAGACATTTTTCGTTTTGTTCTATAGAAAGTTGTATCAGTTCAAAGACTTAAAAGACACCCAACAACTTATGTTTTTAATGTCTCTTCCCACTATTTTTAGTTCTTTTTTCTTTGATATATAATTGTTTCAGCCAGTACATTTACAAGTTACTAAAGAAGTAGAAAAGTACAGCCCCATCATCTGGTATTTTTGTCATTAATATATGTTTTCTGTCATCTTACAAAACATTTCCTTTAGTTGTAGAAAATAAGTATTTAAGTTAGCAGCTATAAATTTAAAGTTGTGTACAAATCTATGTAGAATATATGAGAGCTTGTCTCCTTATTTTATCTTCTAAAAGTGAGCGCAGAGTGTAGCTATTGAAGCTATTGAAGAGCAGAGTGTTCATTTTGATAAATAGCTTATTTTCCTTTTTTTAGGTGGAAGCTTTCATTTTTTTAATCTGAATCAAAATATAAAAATATTTATCTCCATTTCTGTCTTAAATTTGGCCTCTAACACACTTTTGTCTAAAAATGTGGGAGAATATATTTAAAGATTGATTGATTGATTGATCCATCTATCCAGCCATCTACTTATTTATTTATTTCTGGATCCAGCTTAAAATTCTGACTCTCTTGAACATTTTTTAGGTCAAAGGCTTGCTACCAAGATTGAAGGAAAAGGTCGATCTTCTTGTATTTAATCCTCCTTATGTAGTGACTCCACCTGAAGAGGTAAGACATACAACAAAATTGAATTACTTATATTTTCAGCTGTTTTCTATCTCAGATCACATGTACTTCATTATATGACATCAGTCAGCTGCTAATAACAGGCTGCTCTGATTTTACTCATGTGTGAAAGTGAAAGTCGCTCAGTCCTATCTGACTGTTTGTGAGCCCATGGACTATATACAGTCCATGGAATTCTCCAGGCCAGAATACTGGAGTGGGTAGCCATTCCCTTCTCCAGGGGATCTTCCCAACCCAGGGACTGAACCCAGGTCTCCTGCACTGCAGGCGGATTCTTTACCAGCTGAGCAACAAGGGAAGCCCAAGAATACTGGGGTGGATAGCCTATCCCTTTTCCAGTGGATCTTCCTGACCCAGGAATCAAACCAGGATCTCCTGCATTGCAAGTGGATTCTTTACCAACTGAGCTATCAGGGAATCCTGATTTTACTCAAAATTGTCAATTATTGAATACTGTTGGTAGACATAGGAAAGGAGTCTGAAATTAATGGAAATTCAAACTGTGATCTGTATCTAGTCTTTAAAATCCCATCCACATCAGGCCATGGTATTTAAATAGTATTTGTATGTATACCTTTATCATGAATAACAAGTTTGCAAAACAAAATACTTTAATCAGCCTTAAATTCACATAGGAATTATCTCTGAAAGTCTCAGGTTTGCTCCTTTTACAAGTATTTGGAAGTGGGGGAGGAGGAGAACCAATTCTCACTTCAGGTAGGAAAAGATACAACCTTGTAATACATGATTATAAAGTTTTCAGTAATGAGGAGGTAAACCATATTAGAAGTGTTAGGCACTCAGTCATGTCTGACTCTTTGTGACCCCGCGGACTGTAGCCCGCCAGACTCCTCTCTCCATGGAATGTCCCAGGCAAGAATACTGGAGTGGGTTGCTATTTTCTTCTCCAGGGGATCTTCCTGATCCAGGGGTCAAACCCCTGTCTCCTGTGCATCTTGCACTGCAAGTAGATTGTTTACCCTCTGTGCCACCAAGGAAGCCAGCCATATTAACCACTTCCCAATTTAAAGAAAGAATGGCCAAACCAGACAAAAGTTTAATAATGGACTAAGGCCTGCTTTCCTTTGAATTATTATACCTATTTTATTCTTTGATTATCAGCAAGGCTGATAAATACTGCATTCCTCTCCACCACGATGGGAGAGGTCTGCACTGGTGCTGCCGCTCCTGCTGAGAAGCTGTTGCTCCCCTGACATGAAATCATCTGAGAAGGAACGTCACTGTCATGAGGTGAGCAGCAGCTGAGGGAGATGCAGCTAATGAAACACACGCAGCTCAGGGAAGTGCATGGAAATAAGTGTCAAGTAACAAAAACGGTCTAGTCCAGTCATCTCAGTCTTTGAGATGTCATTTAGGAAAATCATTAACAACAGAATGAAGTTGTAATTTACAAAAATATGTTTATTGCACCTTTATACATGATGGCAAATAATATGAGCCTAAATATGTAACAGAAAAGAAACAAGTAAATCATGGTTTATCAGGCCCACAAACTGCTGAGAAGCCTAGTGAATGAAGAGAAGATTCTGGGAACTTGCTGACACAATTGGGCTTCCTTTCTGCCACACTCCTACTACTAAGCTATGTGTGTAATTATACAGATAGTTGAGTGTGGGCAGTGTCTTGGGCTTTGTCACCGTTCCAACAGAGAAAGCTAGTGTCATCCGTTAGCAGAGCAGTTAGTAGGGTTAAAAGGCAGTGTAACAAAGATTTCATGGAGCTTAAAAACATGTTTTACAGTGTAAAACATTAGGAGACGAATTGAGAGACTATAGTCTCTGTCATGTCCTGAATCAGTGGTCTGGAAACCAAATGAAAACATTTTGGTTTGTGAAGATGAATAAAATCATGAAGGTAAAAGTTAGGAAACTTAGGGATTAGATCCAGGAGATGTAACATACAAATACCAGGAGTTTGCGCATATAAAAAGTTGTGTCTGTACTTTTATTCCATCCTTAAACGTGAGGTTAGATATTGTGGTTTGAACCGGTGACCTGTCAAGGATCAGGAGCAGGCAGTCAGCAGGCCACCAAAGGTGACCCTCCTCCCGAAGATGGGACTCCTTTCTGTGGCCTGTGAGATTGTGGTTGGTGCCAGGCCATCCTCCTGAAGGGCCGTCTCCAGTGCAAGCAGACAGCTGGCTGAGCATCCCCGGAAGGCAGGTAGACAGGGTCCAGCGCCGAGGGCTCCTAGTCCACGCTAAACAAGGCCATCGCCATGCACGCTTTCCATGGAGCACTGCACCCTGTGAAACATTCAGAGAGTGGGCGCCACAAGGCAAGGGGGGAAGCCAAGGACGAGGAAGACATGAGCCCCACAAAAAGGGAGTGCGAGGAATGCTAGGAAAGAAGTCTCCAGGGGGACAGTCTCATTAAAACAGCGGAACTATCAATTGCCTTCTGTGATTAACTGTGGGAAATTGTACGGAGAAGCTTATGATATGTATAAGAATAATTTAAATTAAATACAAAAAAATTAAGTAAATGGACATACTGAATGCCCAGCAATAGCTCAATAAGAAATGATACTTTTACACTGTAAAATATTATGTAGCCATTAAAAAGGAAATTTAACTATACCCGTTCACACGAAGAGATTTCTGTACAGTATTGTTGAGTGAGAAAAGCAAGATATAAGTAAGAATGTAGATACAATCCTATCTTTGTAGAATATGGACAAAAAAGAAAAATATGTGTGTGTGTGTGTGTGTGTGTGTGTGTGTAGAAGATGGGAGGGGAGCAGACGAATAAAACTGTAAAAGGGGAAAAGTACAGTTTTTTTAAAGTGTATGAACATACGTCTCTTAATTATACATGAACATGGTTATAGGTATAAAGAAATTATTTATGTCTTGACAAATGAATAAAACTAGAGTGTGCAACTGTACATAGATAATTTAAACTGAAATATGGACAAAGACCATTAAAGGGATTAGGAAGAAAATAATTATATTAGAGTTTAAGTAGTTTTTCAGTGATTTCTTCAATATATTCTTTAGTTTTAGAAATGATATACAGTGGTAAGGCTCTAAAGATTTTTAATGCTATATAAACTCTCAAGGTTTTGTTTCTATAATAAGATTGTTATAGGAAAAAGTGCTTCCTTATACCTTTATATAATAAATGGCTTCCCAACAAAGGACTGTGATATGTGATATTCTGAGTAATCTAGAAGAGTGCCGGCTGCAGTGGGACGCTGTCAAACTTTGTTTCTGTGAAGTAGATCTTTTATAATACAAGTTCTCCCATCTAGTTTCTTCCTGATTGTTCTGTATTAAATAGAATAATTTAAATGTGTTGATGGTAACAGCTGTTATTAAGCCACATTATTACATGCAGGGCACTGTTCTCAAACTTTAAATATACTTCCTCATTTATTCCTAATGGACAAAAAGACTTCTTTTAAAATCATTTTCCTAACTGTACAGATAAAAGTGTTACTTTCCTAATTTTACAGATAAGAAAGGAAACTAATTCATCAAGATTAGAGACGAGGTTACACATGCTAGGAAACGGTGGGGCTCAGATTCAACTTTACCACCACCTCCTCATCAGCCGTAAAATACGAAATACATACCTGTTTGGTCAGTGAAGCCTTTCAAAAAGATTCCATTGTCTTTTGTGTGTGTGTAGCTTAGAGCAGTCTTTCTCATTGGATGCAGGTCGGGAGTCACGGGATACAGGCGGCTTGGGCTGGTGGGAGAAGCGGTCGTGAAGTCATCGACAGATTCTTACCACTGGCTCCAGATCTCCTCTCACCAAGAGGATTGTTCTATTTAGTCACCATTAAAGAAAACAATCCAGGTAATACAGACCATTTTATCTTTTAACCATTACCTTAGCTGAAATCAAGGTTAATTGTGTCAAAGACTGTAATTAAGGAACCCAGAATGTTAATGAATGTTGTCGCTGACAACTGTTAATACAGACATAGCATTCATGTTGAAAGAGAAGAGAGGTTTTTAAGAGGTAGATTTTTCCGATTTTAAAGAATATTGTCTTTTTGAGGGGGTTTCCCCTGATTTTTAAAAATGAATACTCAAATACAGAGTCTGTAATTTCTTCTTCTTACACCTCACCTTCAGTACTGTGAATTTTATTTTCTAGTCTTTATGTCATTGGCAGTTCTGCTGTATATTCTTTAGTTCATCTGAAGTTTTATCATGAAAGCTATCCCCTGATATTGATTTTTATATCCTGGCTTTAAGATTAGTTGGTAACTAAATTGACTGTAATCTTTCTTCTCTTTTCTGTACATCTCACGTTTGATTTTGTGTTCTCAGACCCTCAGATCACATCATAATTTCTAGTGTTGTTGGTTTGGTTGGGGAGGGTGTTGTGTGTGTGTGGTTTTGTTAGGTTTTTTTTTTTTTTGGTAACTCCAGTTTCCTGCTTTTGTCTTTGAGGTGTTAAATATTAACAAAGGGTAGGTTTTACTTTTTTCAATATTCCTGAAAAAAATAAGCTACTTCGTTTACTGCCACTTTTCAATGTCAGCGTATGATTTGCCCATACCCTTGTTGGCATTTTTCATCCAGAAGGAGGAACACGGGGCAGAGATTAGAGCCAGGCAACTAAAAAATGAATCATTTTTTGTAATGCCAAGTGTAACTCATGTTTCTGTTGAGTCCAGAGCAGGTTACCACTGCAGTGCAGTCATTCACTCTTGACTAGAATTCTCAGCAACACCCTGAAAACACAGAGTACGTTCATCTGTCTGAAGTCCAAATTCACTTTAATAGAAATTACGTAGTGTACACTGTTTTCTCAGATGAGTAGAATTTGTAGTCTGTTTATCATCTTACTAAACTGTTTAATGATCATGCACACTTCACCAAATGATTTAATTGGATTTTTTCTTTTGTTTTAATTCTCATTTTAGAAGAAATTTTGAAAATAATGAAGACCAAAGGTCTACAAGGGATCACTGCGCTTTCCAGGCGAGCAGGCCAGGAAATCCTGTCGGTTCTGAAGTTCAGCAGGCCCTGATCTACAGTGTGTGCTACGTAAAGCAGAATGCTTCTGGCATATGTGAAACTGAAAGTTTTTTCTTTGTTAACAAGTAAAATTGCCAGAAATTTGTTACATAGACAAAGGCAGGCAAGTGGGGCATTTCCTTTTACCCAGCAGTCAGGCCTACAGGAATATTTGCACAAATGCAAGTAAATATATATATATATTGAATTTCACATATGTATTATATGTAGAGAATATATAACGAAGAATTATACTTAATTATATGTGAAGAGGATGTTCACTTCAGCGTTACTCATAATGGCAGAACAATGAAGTTAAATGTCCATCAGCAAAGGGATTGGTAAAATAGAGTACAGTATTTTCATGTTACTAAACATCTCCAGCCATTAAACATGAGTCACGTCTGTATATACTCAACCAGAAGGGTTCATTATAGGCTACTGATCAGTGAAAAAAAGCAAGTTGTAAAATAGTGTTAACCTATGTGTATATTTTTTAAAAACTAATAACCAAGGAGGTTTGTGTTTTATGTGTATATGAGAAATTCTCCAAAGGCACAGGTGGGAATAGAGGAACCTTCATTCTTTTGTGCTGGCGTTTGTACAGTGATAATCTGTTCTATAATGAAACAGCTTTTTATATAAAAGTTTTTCAAGTTCACCTTCCCATGCTTATTGTCTCCATTCTCTTCTATCGTTTAGAGCAGCTTCTGCCTCCATCCTTCTCCCTGGTCACATTTCTCCCACTGTTTATCCTCTATCATATATTTCTATTTTCTTCTTAGATATTGCAAGCTCCTCTTATTTTTTTTCCTTAGATCAGGGAGAGTTGTATGTAAATAAACTCAACACTCAGATTAATCACATATTTAAGAGCCTAGGGCAACCCACTCCAGTATTCTTGCCTGGAGAATCCCAGGGACGGCGGAGCCTGACGGGCTGCCATCTAAGGGGTCTCACAGAGTTGGACATGACTGAAGCGACTTAGTAGCAGCAGCAAGAGCCTAGGGGTCCTTGGTGGACCAGTGGTTCAGAATCTGCTTCCAGCGCAGGGGACGCAGGTTCGATCTCTGGTCAGGAAATTAAAGGTCCCACATGTCATGGGGCAGCTAAGCCCGTGCACTGCAGCAAAAGAAGCCCGCACGTCACGACTCGAGAAGCCCGCGTGCCGCAAAGAGTGGCCGGCATGCCTGCCCACGAGCTGCGCCAGAGACTCAGTGCAGCCAACATATAAATAATAGATAAAGAGGTTTGTTTTTTTTTTAAAGAGTCCTCATGTATCTTTCAAGAAATGTCAAATTACCTTAACTAAGTTTAGGAACCTCTTCTGTAACTCCCCCCAACCCCCATTTAAAATATGCAGTTGCCCCTCGAACAACATGGGTTTGAACTGTTCAGGTCCACGTACTCTTGCATGATCTGTTTCAGTAAAGACACCGCAGTGCTTCACACTCCGTGGTTGGTTGAATCCGTGGAGGCCATGGAGGGGCTGACTGTAAAGTTACATGTGGATCTTTGATGTACAGAGGGTATCAGTGCCCTAACCCCTAGGTTGTTCAATGGTCAACTGTATTTATGAAAGTCAGTTAGCAGGCCTGTAGACCAGAGTGAAAGGAATCTAGATTTTTTATTTGGTTACATTCAGAATCACCTGAGGAAGTTTAAGATTATATAATCTTAAACCCCACCATCAACCCATGGAATACTCTGCTTACCAGACCTTAACACTTTTTTTTTTTTAAACTGTACTACTTGGGACGTCCCTGGCATTCCAGGGGCTAAGACTCCATGCTCCCATTGCATGCGGCCCGGGTTCAATCCAGTCAGGGAACTGAGATCAGATGTGCTACACGGTGCACTTGAAAAAAAACCAGAAAATACTTCTCAACATTCTTTGAGGCAGCCTAACTTTACAACTGTTATTTAAATAGCATTCTCACTGAATTCCTTAGCGTGCATGCTCAGTCGTGTCCAACTCTTGTGACCCCAGTGACTAGCCCACCAGGCTCCTCTGTCCATGGGATTTTCCAGAGAAGAATGCTGGAGTGGGTTTCCATTTCCTGCTCCACAGATTCTTCCTGACCCAGGGGTCAAACCCATGTCTCCTACGTCTCCTGTATTGGCAGGTGGATTCTTGACCGCTGAGCCACCTGGGAAACACCTTAGTCCTTAGGACAATCCACAGAAAGAAAAATCATCCTCCTTTGATGTTCAGAAAGGTTAAATAGCTTGCTCAAAGAGACACAGTCATAATGGGTGAAAACAGTATGGCATCATTTCAGACACAGGTCTGACTCTAAAATGGCATTTCCTCTGCTTATGCTACTTTGAGCAGCAAAAATATAATTAGTATTTACTTAAATCTGATATCCGTACGTAAATTTCCATTCCAGAAACAGTGTCATCTGAATATCATCATAAATGACCTATTGTATCCCAGGAGGGAAAGTAACCTTAGAAATTTATTGTGGGCTTTCAATCATAGTTTTAGGGAATAAAGTCTTGAATTTTTTTTTCAAATAATGTTTGAAACACTTTTAAAAATTTATTTTTTGGGCATCTAGGTTGCTTCCATGTCCTGGCTATTATAAACAGTGCTGCGATGAACATTGGGGTGCACGTGTCTCTTTCAGATCTGGTTTCCTCGGTGTGTATGCCCAGAAGTGGGATTGCTGGGTCATATGGCAGTTCTATTTCCAGCTTTTTAAGAAATCTCCACACTGTTTTCCATAGTGGCTGTACTAATTTGCATTCCCACCAACAGTGTAAGAGGGTTCCCTTTTCTCCACACCCTCTCCAGCATTTATTGCTTGTAGACTTTTGGATAGCAGCCATCCTGACTGGTGTGTAATGGTACCTCATTGTGGTTTTGATTTGCATTTCTCTGATAATGAGTGATGTTGAGCATCTTTTCATGTGTTTGTTAGCCATCTGTATGTCTTCCTTGGAGAAATGTCTATTCAGTTCTTTGGCCCATTTCTTGATTGGGTCATTTATTTTTCTGGAGTTGAGCTGGAGGAGTTGCTTGTATATTTTTGAGATTAATCCTTTGTCTGTTGCTTCGTTTGCTATTATTTTCTCCCCATCTGAGGGCTGTCTTTTCACCTTATAGTTTCCTTTGTTGTGCAAAAGCTTTTAAGTTTCATTAGGTCCCATTTGTTTATTTTTGCTTTTATTTCTAAAATTCTGGGATGTGGGTCATAGAGGATCCTGCTGTGATTTATGTTGGAGAGTGTTTTGCCTATCAGCAGACGAATGGATGAGGAAGCTGTAGTACATATACACCATGGAATATTACTCAGCCATTAAAAAGAATTCATTTGAATCAGTTCTAATGAGATGGATGAAACTGGAGCCCATTATACAGAGCGAAGTAAGCCAGAAAGATAAAGACCATTACAGTATACTAATATATATGGAATTTAGAAAGATGGTAATGATAACCCTATATGCAAAACAGAAAAAGAGACTCCGATGTATAGAACAGACTTGTGGATTCTGGGAGAAGGCGAGGGTGGGATGTTTCAAGAGAACAGCATCGAAACACGTATATTATCTAGGGTGAAACAGATCACCAGCCCAGGTTGGGTGCATGAGACAAGTGCTCGGGCCTGGTGCACTGGGAAGACCCAGAGGGATCGGGTAGAGAGGGAGGTGGGAGGGGGGACCGGGATGGGGAATACATGTAAATCCATGGCTAATTCATTTCAATGTATGACAAAAACCACTGCAATGATGTAAAGTAATTAGCCTCCAACTAATACAAATAAATGAAAAAAAAAATTTATTTTTTAATTGAAGGATAATTGCTTTACAGAATTTTGTTGTTTTCTGTCAAACATCAACATGAATCAGCCATAGGTATACATATGTCCCCTTCCTCTTGAAACACTTTTAAAGTAATATGGAAGACTTCTATCAACATAGGTGACTAAACATAGAAATACTATGTAAAAGACACCAAAGATTTCACATGTATGGCTGTTACTGACTGAATTGTTCTTCCATCCACCCCAACACTCACCCACCTCCACCACCACCAAATTCATATGTTGAAGCCCTATCCCTTATACCTCAAAATTATTATATTCAGAAATATATAGAGAGGTAGTTATATAGAGAGGTAACCTTTAGAGAGGTAGTTAAATAAAATGAGGCCATCAGGATAGGCCCTGATCCAATCTGACTTGTGTCCTCCCATGAAAAGGAGAAAAGATACCCGGGATGCTTGCACACAGAGGAAAGGCCATGTAAGGACTCAATGAGAAGGTGGCCACCTACAAGCCAAGGAAAAAATGCCCGAGCAGAAACCAACCTGCTGATGACTTGATCTTGGATTTCCAGAACAGTGAGGAAATAAATGCTCTCAAAGCACTTCAGCCTGTGTTATTTTGTCATGTCAACCCTAGCAAGCTAATAGCTAAAGACAGAATTGCCCACATTCTGCAGATAGTTAAAGTGGAAAAACAAAAAATAGAATTGGTCTCCCAAGGAACACAGATACTGGAATTGTTATATAGAATGTTTGAAATGTTTAAAGAATTAACATAATCAAAAAGAAAACCACACAAACAGATCTGTTTGGAATGAACAAATTTATGGCAGCTTTTAAAAATGAGGAATAGAATTCCTGAAATCAGAACCACTATAGAGAGCATAAAAAAGTAGCTAAACAAGAGAATTGATGAAATTCACAAAATGCAGCTCAGAGGGACAAAAGAGAAAGTATGAAGGAAAAAAGAATAATTTTGGAGGATAGAATGAAAAGGTCTAGCAAAACAATTCCAAAAAGAACGTAAGAGACTATCTGGAAAGGTAATGGCTAATGTTTTTCCAGAACTGATATTTTAGAAAGAAGATGAAAAAAGCAGATGAAATCCACACCTATTAATAGATACATAGTAATGATATGCAAAATATCAAAGGCAAAGAGATCTTAAGAGGCAATCAGCAGAGGTTGGCAAACTAAATAAAATTTTAGGGCACATCCTCACCCGTTCACTTCTGCATTGC